TTGAAAAATGATCGTAGGAGAGAAAGCTAGAGGTGGTTCATCATGGAGTAGGGATGATGATATTGCTTTTGAGAGCGCTCTTGCGATTTATACCGACGAGACAGATAACCGTTGGGAGAAGATTGCTGGGGTTGTTCCAGGGAAAACTGTAGAACAAGTTATAGAGCATTACGAGAGTTTACTTCATGATGTTATGAAAATTGAATCTGGAGACATACCTCTTCCTGATTATGATATTCCAGAAGATACAAATGTTAGAAGAAAAAACATTGGGGCACGTAGCAACAGTCGCAAATGTGAGAATAAGCAAGAAGATGAACCAACATCAAAGCCAAAGCGACGTAAGGCGATTCCATGGACACCGCTTGAACACAAGTTAGTTACTACTACTACTTCTTCTTCTTCAATTCACTTAATTATGCATGATCAAGCCAGTCCCGAACATAAACAAAATAATCGGCTGTTTAGAACATCACGTTATTATGCAATTATTTTAGTTGTACATAGAATATTATCATAAATTATATAAAAATAAGATTACAAATTTCATTTGAGTGTAAAAAATAATAATAATAAATAATAAAAATAAAGAAACAACAAACAAAAAGAAGCAAAATATTATGATTTTTTAAAAAAATAATGGTTTGAGTATTAGCTTGTTTTCTTTTTATATATATCGGTATGGTTTGTAGTTGATATTTTTATATAAAAATAAGATTACAAATTTCATTTGAGTGTAAAAAATAATAATAATAAATAATAAAAATAAAGAAACAACAAACAAAAAGAAGCAAAATATTATGATTTTTTTAAAAAATAATGGTTTGAGTATTAGCTTGTTTTCTTTTTATATATATCGGTATGGTTTGTAGTTGATATTTTTATAAAATGTTGAATCATATGATTTTTTTTGTTTTCTTGGAACAGTCAATTTCTTCTTGGTCTAAAAAAATATGGAAAAGGTGATTGGCGTAGCATTTCTCGTCATGTTGTACTGACGAGAACACCAACGCAAGTTGCAAGCCACGCTCAAAAGTACTATGAACGTCTCAAATCTAAGAACATCAGCAGGCAGAGACAGAGCATTCACGATTTCAACATCTCAGCAATGGAAGCACCATTCACATGGCCAGATGCTCAAGCCACTTCACAACCATCACTAGACCATCCTACCATATGGAACACACAAGCCACTTCACAATCAATAGACCATCATGTATTTGGGAAACCTACCATATGTAACATGCAAGCCGCTTCGCAACCACCAATGAATGTTCATGTCTATGGCACACCCACTATTGGCCAATCAATGGTTGGACCAAAAACTGACATGAATCTCTTGGCCAGATCAGTCGGCCGTTGGGCCAAACCAATGCCTTACGGGGTTCAACATCATTCGGTTCCTTACTCTTCAATTCCTTATGCACCATTCAACAGAGGTCCAGTTCCATATACCATGACAAATATACCTACTTCACGTTAGGTGCGGTTGTATTTTATGCTTGTTTTAAAGTGTGTCATTTGTGTATAAAAAAACTTAACATTCAATTTGCCTTGTCATTAACGTCAAATTCTTGAGTTTTATATTTTAGTTGTTTTTGTTTGTTATGAAAATGTATCATTTGGGGGAATATTATACATTATATTTTACTTGTTGACAAACCCTTTCTTATGAA